TGTGTGTGTCCCACCCTGGACAAAGGGTCTTACACCACCACTCTTCCCATTCTACACAGGCAGGGGGGCGCAGCAGATGCAAGGGACTGCGCCTAACAAAGCTACCTTGCATCTGGGAAGCCAGGTCTGATCAACCTGGTGTACCTGCTTCAACTTTTGAACACGCTGTCCAATTTTTTGGTTTGATTCATGGTGGTTCCACATGATACTTTCCCCACAAACAGGTTTCCCACTGCACTGCAGCTGCTGACCGCCGCTTCCATTTGCGCTTGTCGTGAAACCTGTGTTAAACAATACAGTTTCAGCTGACCTTTCCACCTTGCCGTTCCATCGCCTTCCTTCCCATTGAGCCAATTGCGTTAACTGAAAAACCCAAGTTCGAAGTGTGTGTCTGACAAATGCGTAAGGGATTGCACATGTTGATCTCTCACACGGCAACTTGAAGATCCCTAGGGCTCCAACCATATCCTCAGGTTCGGTGGTCAGACTCTTAGACCCCCCTGGCACCCACCCCAACCATCTTCTCAACGGAGGTGGTTGGAGCCTTAGGTTTCTGTGTTGGTTCATTTTCGGGAGGGCATATGTTACTTGAGAATGCTTTGACATAAAGAAGCTATTGTTTTACTGTATCCGTTTTCCATGTCCATGTCGTTGACCTCTGCATGAGTGCTGGGCCAGAAGAATCATGTTGAAGTTCCCGCCTCCAAAGGCCTATGTTGCAGTCTACACGTACGAAAAGCCTCGGAAAACCATGGGTATGAGATGAGTATGAGTTCTGATGGAAGACCTGCTGACCTGCACCGGCCATTCACCACGGATGGTACTCTTCCTAGCCATCTGAAGTGCGAAGAGTCCAGAACTCTTCCTTCAACCCTGGGCGCCAGGGGCACCGAAGCATAGAAGACCAGGCCAGGGCACATGAAAGTACCCCAACTTAGCGCAAGAGGCCTGGCTTTGGATGTTGGCACTAGGCTGCATCCTAAATTCACCAACAAAATAGCATAGTGCAAAACATCAAATCATATGAAATCCACAGTTGTTGATCCTGCCTCTGAAGGCCTGCAGCAAACATGTTGTTGAGCTGTGGCTCTCCCTTAGCGGCCTTTGTTTACATGGCCATCTACACTCCCTGGAACCAACATGGAAGTGGAGAATGGCCCCGAAAGGAAGACCATGAAATCCACTACCAACAGATGGTGAACTCCACTTCCATGTGAGTTCCAGGGAGAGTATATAAATGGCCCCTTAGTCTTTGGTGGATCTTCAAGTCCGCACCCCAACGCCTTGGCCATCGCCGCATCCAAATGGGTGCATTGCACCGTTTCCTCCGGTGGACGGCGGAAGGCCTCCACCGGTGGCACCGAAGAGCCATACCCCGCCATGGCGGGAGGTGTGGCCAACGCGCAGCGTTGGCTTGGCGGATGGGGCTTTGTGGTAAAACCACTGCCAATCTTGCTTGGTGGTTTGAAGACTTGACTTTGCTTTTGCTGGGAAGAACCATGTGAAGATACTTGCAGAGCTGCAGAGCTGTTCCAACTGTTCCAGGCATGCTGGCATGACGCATGTGGCCTATGTGAAACGCAGCAGGCCTTGCTCAGCTACAGTACTGAGCCTCACATAGGCCATCGCTAATGTGAGTTGACTCTGTCTCTGAGCCCAAAGCCAGCCAATGCGGGAATCATCCTGAAGAACACACCAACACGTCAACTCAATAGACCAGTGCGTAAACCGTGTGATACGACCATGTCCGTCCTCCCAAGATGGAGCGAGCCAACAGAACACGCGAGAAACACGAAGCACCTCACACCTCGAAAAAACGCACACTCTCAAACCAATCCCACATAACAAGAGGAGGCCCCTGTTGGGTGTTTGGTACGCCCCTTTCACCGAAGTGTCGCCATAAGAAGATACCCATAAACACCTAGAGTATGCGGCCGGCCCTGGTCTTCTCCATCTGCCAAGGAACGCCCTGCATTTGCTGCCGTTCTTGCGCCCGGCGAAGCCGCTCCTTCCGAGCCTCGAGCAGCTCTTGACGTCGCATGTCTTTGGGCCGCTGGAGGAAGCCTGGGGCGGACATTGGATAGCCAAAACATCTGAGATCTAGTCAATGGCAATTCAATTTTCCCGGTCATGAACCGCTGCTCGGGAGGTGTGAGGAGTCTTGATTTCTATCTGAAACCGGGTTTCTTCGTTCAACGAATGCCTTGCAAGCTCCTTGATCACCACTGGAATCCATTAATTAGGGCCTAGGGTGATGGTGCCTCGGAGCCTCAAGAGGCAGCAAATTTGTTCCCAAGTTTCCCATGTTGGGTGAACATGCGTGAACCAACTTAACATCTCATCCTGCAGCCATGAAACCACCCCAGGCTGCTTTCTGCTGCTGGTGCTTCACGGCCAGCTGACTCTTCACCAAAGCCATCTCCTTCAACACCTGCGTGAGGATTCGTTCAGAAAACCTTCTCCATAGATGGATCCACGGTGCCCTCTTTGAGGGTGGAAGCAGGAGAACACTTGCTCTTGGATTTGCTCAATCAAGGAACCTGGAAGAAAAAAAAACATGTTCCTCAGGCCAGGGGATCTAACAATAGGCAATCTACCAGAACCCTCTAAGGGGTGCCCAATGGAAGCCTATAGGTAGTGTGGGGTAGTCCATTGGACACCCCTTGGAAGGTCCTGGTAGAAGCAAACACCATCTAAGACCTTCACCAAGGTTCCCAAGACCTTCGCCAAGGTTCGATCTCGCCGGGCGACGAGAAACCGACGGTCCGTGGACCTCGACTCGTACGGCCCGCGGGTATATTATATGCCCCCAGCGGCTCAGCGTGATGGCAAGATGAGATCAAATCAAAACACAACCGCGAAGGCGTCAGTGGCCTTTTTTTGAGATCAAAACGAATCGAACCCACAACCCCCGCAGGCCATAGCATCAAGGCAGTGGCATAAGCAACCAATCTGAGTGATAATCAACACACACAAAACAAGAACAATACAAATGAAGCCCCCAAATGCCCCATGCAGGTATATATATATATATAATGAACATAAATATCTTGATTCGTTGATTGATCCCCCCGTCTGGAAGAGGTTTTACAATCCAAACCGGTGGGTGTTCAATCTTAAGAGCCAATTCTCTACTTTGTATTCCTTGGATTTACCAGTAATTATCCCTCTTAGCCTTTTTGGGAGGGCATACGACATGTCCATCTCACTCACCTCGCATTCTCATGTCTTCACTCACCGCGACCGGCGAAGAATCACCCACCGAGGCGCCTCTGCGTGCTCCGGCTGAAGCCGCAAGACCTACGGCGTCGACACGCCGGGCGTCACGGCGGGACATTGTTCGACGGGTTCGGTCGAAACATGGTCCGAAGCAGCTGAAGGAGAGACAGGGGTCTTCCGGGATGGCAGTGGAAGAGCACGTGAGGAACGATAGACGATGTCTCAACATCTCCGGGATGGCAGTTGAAGATAGTCAGTCCCCGAGGATGAGCTGTTTTGGGATCCCTGCAGCTGCTGTGGGTCATGGCCCCAAAGAAAAAACCGACGGCTTGACCTGGTTGCGGCCGAACTCGCTACATGGACCAGGACTCCAAGTGAAAAGACCCATCCCCAAATGAAACCATTGGCAGTTTTTTCAGGCATGAACACCTGAAGTCGCGACTTCAGGTTACAAGAACCCCTGTCGCGGAAGCTGCGATATGGCATCCGATATGACCACCGCTCACCGTCGTTGGCCGATCTTCGCGTTTCACCGGTCCACGATACGGCGCGGCGCATGGGTTCGAGCCCGCTGAACCAGGAAGAATCGATTAGGCCCTATAGGACAAATGGCCGGAATTCTTCGGCTTAAACGTGCGATTTTGGGAGGACTTCGTGGGTATCTACAGCCAGGGAGCACATACTTAAGCATGGGACATGAGCTTCATGTGGCTACTGGTTGGTGAAAGTTGGACCTTCATCCGCAATGGCTGCTGATCTATGCTGAGAGTTTTGCAACCCAACCTGCCCTGATCTGAATTCTACATGGGAAGTGCAACTTGGGCAACCTGTTGAGTTGGCTGTTGGTTACCTCCTTACTCTCAGCCAAAACCATGATAGCCACCACCTGCAAAAAGAAAAGGAAGCATCCTCGTCCAATCTTGCAAACTGTCTTGAGATAGAGCGGGCTTCAAGGACTTTGATGGATTCCAACCACACGTCCATGCCCGGCCCACCTGGTGTGTGGATGATTGCGCGCACTGAATGCCTTGACCTCTCTGGGCAATCTGGTCCAGCCGTGAAAGAAAAATGAACGTGTACCAGGTGCCGAGCACTCAAAACCATGGGCTTTTTGGCTCAAGAATATCGAAGACAACAGTTTACCATCCCCAAATCCCTACCACGCTCCTCCTTTCTAGCTTCTTCTCAGATTTCGGACACCCCACTCGTGCGAAGGTGTTTCGCCACCCCGGCACCGGCGGCGCCACACCGAGCTGCCGCTTGGAGGTCTTCCTTGGCTTCGTCGCCCTTTCCCAGGCTTCGCCGGGCCACGCCGCGCCGGAAGTGTGCCTGGACGGGTTTGTCGAGCTCGGGCGTACCGCGTGGTCCAAGCGAGCTCGGCTGGGGTGTTGGGTTCATGGTGAAAAAACACACAATTGATCATAACAACGCGACAACATTAGTAATGATTCATGTTGTGTGAACATGATTTCCGGATGTGTCATTCATCAGTAGCTCCAAAACGAAACACACACAAATAACACACTATATAATATAATATACCAGCACCTTGGAAGGGGTCACCAATACACTACTCAGGGCCCTCTATGGGACACCCCTTGAAGGCACAGGCGGTGCCTTGGCCTTGAGCGCGCCGGGCACGGCGTTCTTCGGCAGCTCGGCGATGACCAGCGCCTTGGTGCCTGGGATGATCAGGTCGGGTGCCGAAGACACTTCAGGAAAGTCTTGTAGTTGTGATCCTTTTCTTTCTGCTGTCTGTTTAGGTCTGTTCTTTTCATGTTCTTTGTTTTATTTTTCTTTTCCTGTCTTTTCATGTCGTTCCGGCAACTGGAGTTACAGTAGATAATTGGCCAAACGCGTGCATCTTGCACTCCAATGACGGCGTGCAACTGTGGAACTGCGCACGCCGCCTTTTCTGCCATGGGCCATGGCGTATGTTTAAAGTCCTCTGTTGGGAGCGCTGCAGACCCCGGCAAATTCTGAATTTTGGCTTTGTCTCAAAACCATGTAAATTGAAAACTATTCCTTCACTATGCACTCTCTAACTTTTTGAAGACAAATGAGCCCATCCTGGAAATTCTCAGGGCCCGACTTGCTAGCTGACCGTCTGACTATCTGAGCCTTTGCTCAGCTCCTCCCTCGTCTTCCTCTGGCTCACCAGAAGTGTCGGTAAAGATGCTGCTGATGAGGCCGAGCTTAACTCGTTGACCAAGCCTAGGAAGGTCTGTTCGTAGTGCTGGTGAGACGCCTCCAAGGCACGGCAAATAGTCTCGCGGACAAAGGTGTTCATCGTTTCAAAGCCGCCTCACAGGGTGTGGCGCTGTTTGGAGGCGTTGTTGGCAGAGGCTGGGACAATGGTACAACAGCCAAGGCTTTGATGGCCTTATATAGACACTAACAAGCTACGTTAGGTCTCTACGGACTGGAGTGATCGCCAACATACGCATTGCAGCCTCCTCCCAACAATGATGCCAACCCATCTACAATCACAAGATAAAACACTTGATCAAACCGTTCTGAGACAAGTTCAATCATCCAATCAAAACCAATTCCGTCATCAATTACAAGCATGTGCACCCTTTGAAGGAACAACAACAACAACAACGCGCCATTGAAGATCAAACACCTATTCAGGATTGGTTTAACAAATGCACACACACATATACACAGCACAACTTTGATCCCATCAAAAAAACAACACCAAACACTAAACTGTTCGGGTCACCTGGCATCTGCTCGATGAGTCGATGAATCATCTGCCGATCCTCCTCCGCCGTTGCGGACGCGGAGCGCGTGTCCAGCTCCGCGGCCCGCTGGGCCACTGCGACGGCCACGTCGGTTCCTGCCTCGCCGCGCGCCGGCGCGCCGGTTGCGGGGCCGAGCGGAGCTGTGGAGAGCTGTGGGAGCATCAGTTAACCACATGCGTTTGAAGGGCACCAATAGATGTTCACGGGTTATACCAATCTTTTTGCTTGAAAAACAATTAAAGAAAAAAACACTTTTTTTTAAACGTATTCAAGGCACCAGCAATCCTCTTACTAGTGATTTAGGTCTTTTGTTGCTGACCTGCAACTGGATCCTCCAGGTGTGGTTTTTGGGGCCAGGAACTCGGGATTCTGCAGGTATCCATCCGAAATCGGAAGCAGCTAGCTCCTGGACCCTGAAAAAGGATGGAAGCCACCACCAGCAACCGGAAAGGTCCCATGCTACCCACGCACCGACCCGACCCTGAGTGACCTTGGACCACCACCCCCCCAGAGCAAACTACCCTAAATATGGTCTGTTCCATTCTGGTCGTATCAAAACAGGGATCACATGAATTCTAGGTACGTACATGTATACAGTTCAAGTTTTTTTTCCGTGTCAATCACACCTGCCTTCCCCTCTTGCAAGACACCCGTGGAGGTACACAGCAACAAGCCCTGGAAGCTGCCGCTGCCAGAGAGGCGTATGGTGTGGTAGACTTCAAAGAGGCACCTTTAACGTGCTAAAGAACCTGGCAAAAGTACAACATACTCTTCTTTAGAAGATTCATCAAAGGGGATGACAAGTAAACACAACAACCTACTGTAACTATAACCTACTGAGCAAAACCAGGGCACCAAATGCGTTGGAGAGGCAGCACAAGCTCATCGATGATCATGGCTGTACCCTTGCACTCCGGACTTCTCAAAGCAAGATAAAATGAAGAAGATTGCCAGTGTCCATCACCCAGCTCTTCTTCTACATGCCATTGGTTGTTGCTGAAGGTACCTGGTGATTGTTTTCACTACGAAATGAAATGCCATCGACATGCAAATCATTTGCACTATTCAACTCAAGTAACGTTCCCAGTCCCACGGATGAAAAACGCATCATCCCAAACCCAGGTGCAAATCCAATATCCAACTTCTCGCCAATCAAAATCAGAAGAGCTTGATATGGCATGTTTGCGGATGGCCTCACCGAAATGCCGCACGGACATCCCCCAGTAGTGGCTCACGAACCACTCCATCTGCCTAGGGCCAACCAGTTCAACCAAAGACATCTTGTGCAGCTCCGTGAGCGGCTTGACGATGTTGGAACATACATAGTACATGGAACGCTCCTTGATGAAGGTCTCAAAGAACCTGGCGATTTAATAGAAACGTGCTAATCACTAATTGCAATATCTGACAATCCTCCAGGCTTGAGCCAAGCACCACTTCACTGCCTATAAACAATGGTGCGATCGGATGCACTTCATGAATACATCGCATTGCTTGCGCTGGCCTCTGAAAACACCCTATTTCCTCACCGCAGATCTTGACCTCTCTACCTCTTTGCCGGGTGACTGCAAGAAGTCTTGAAGCTGCCCGGCTGACATGGACCGTTCAGGCCCTCGACCGCAGCGTTGCAACGCCAAAGGCCACTCCTTCAGGAACTGGCGACGCCGCTGGGCCAACGCAGTGCGGGACCTTGGACCCAGCGGCCGTGTGGACCAAACATGACCCGTGGCCTCCGCACCGGGTACAGATCAGCGAAACATTGGGGCAATCTCTTGTTTGCAGTTGGACTATGGTCAGGTAGACTCCGAATCAATAAAAACCCGTCATATGAGCAGGTCTTGCAGTAATAATTGTACAATCATGTACAATGCATGTCCGGGGGCATGATCAATCAAAACTCTTCCATGCTTGGCCCGTGCCCCCCATGCCTGCGCCGTAAGGCGAATGCCACCGCACCAGTGCAGAGGCCCAAACTACACACTAGCAGGGTCAGGAGCCACTTCAGCTGGATGGCAGCTGCACAGGCCGCAGCCAACTGAAGCATGCACCAGCAAATGAGAGGACACCGCACAAGACCAGCCAGCACAACACCTGTCACCTAGCCAGGGGTGATGACGGACCATGTGGTCAGTTCGGGGAAAAACGATCTGCACCAGAAAATGGTGACCAAAACTAGCCACTATCGCTGCAAAGTTGCAAAGAAGCCCTGTAGTGGCTTTAGTTGCATAAATCCCATCGAAGTATCTAATGACATGGTCGTCTCCTGGCCATCGAGCGTCAACTGCAGGGAATTCAAAGCCTTCACCCGAAAGCAGCTTCTCTCCAGGTCAGGCACTCCAGTTCCACCAAAGGTCACCTGATTGATGGGCAAAATGGCTGGCACAACACGCCAAACATAGCCAAACCTCATCAAACTATCAACCTTTTTCAAGTTTTTCTTCTTCCCATGGGGTGGAATTATGTCTTTCAATGAGTGGATCATGGGCACCCCTTCAATCACCATGCCAACCTTGGAACTCCAAGGCTCCGAACTGCCCCCGGTCCTTCAGAACCCGGTTTGAGACCTCAAATCCCTCCATAGGTTCGGGTCCGGCCCCTACTTAGGATCCAAAAGTATCTTCAGTTACGCGGCGTAGACCTAGATGAACCGAATTGATCTTCGAACTGTGCGCCTCTGGGCATGACCTCTCCAAAACCCAATGCGCAACCGCTGTGGTGAGCACCAGCTTGGGGCCCTGTGCTGACACGTCTGAAATTGGAATGGAACTGTAGCAGCCCATCAAGAAGAGGAAGCAAAAGCACGCGGAAGTACTCCAAGAGATGAATGCCAACACCACATCCTTGGATTTGCTAAAGTCACAGGATGCGGGATACGGTATATAAAATTTGTACAGATTCTCCAAGAGATCCCAAAAGGAGATGAATGCCACATGCAAAACTCACAAATTAACTTGAGCAAAACAAGGCATCCATGCCTGCAACGTGGCAGAATTGTTTCGTGGCGTCTGGAGAGGCTCGTAGCATCAAGCCGTTGCAGCGTCTGCAGGCAGCGCTCTTTGGATTGGATACGTGACCCTCAGCGCAGCTCAGGCATGTGTTGCTAGCATTTCCCGAATATGTTCCACCCGGGCACGGCTCACAAGTGATGGAATCTTTGGCAAAAAAACCAGCATCGCATTCCTTGCAAACCTCACTGGTTGCACCAGAAACACTGCCGGCAGCACAGGGAATGCATTTTGCACTGGCTTCCTCGGAAAAGCCGCCTCCTGGACATGGGATGCAGGTGCTACTTCCAGGATTTGGTGCAATAAAGCCAGCCGGGCACTTCGTACAGGAGCCATAATTTCCTATAGACGAAAAGAAGCCAGCCGGGCACTCATTGCAGAACTGCTGCTGGAATTCATATCTTCCAACAGGGCAATCCTCACATGCTGAAGCCCCAAGTGTGCCTGCAACTCTCCCCGGAGAACATCTCGTGCAGTTCCCACTGCCCGCAAGAGAGAAGCTTCCGGCTTGGCACTTCTTACAGGTGCCCCCTTCCAAAGAAGCAGAACCAGCCTCACATGACTCACATGTTCCATCCTTTTCTTCGCTGCCTGCCGGGCAATGGCCATCCATACAGGTACCGCGGCCTTCATCATCCTCGTGGATTTGTAGGTTTGAGAAGCGTTGATTAAAAACTATAATATAATATATATAATATATTATTATAAAGCATATTCCCCTGGTTAGAGATTTTTTCATAGGGAAAATAAAAAATCGCCTGATCCATCCTGATCTGCAAAACCAGCTCCTTGCCCAAGAAGTAGATCTCATAGCAACCACATGAGCCATTGCCTGATGCCGTCAAAGCAGCTGTGGACGATTCTTGCCGTGGTGCATGTCTTGCCGCAGTATCATCGAAGCAGGAGCCCCGGCCGTGGCAAACCTTTCCTTCTGCACCGGGACAGGCTGCACAGGCATGCATCTGCCCCACATTCCGCTGCACACTGTAAAAGTTCGGTTCACAACCAGAACAATCGACCAGTTCATGACCCGCGATGCAGCTGCAGTTCACATGTTTGGGCAAGCAAAGGCCCATTTGGTAGCAAGCATCTTCAGGAGTACAAAAGCCCGACGTCCAAAGCACTGCCCCCTTGGTCGACTCGTGTCTGGCAATGAGCTGAAGACCATCACTGAGATCCCCTAGATCAAAGGACGTCACAGGACCAAATCCCAGCGGATCAAAAGTACTCAGGTTTGTCCCCAAGCACCAAAAATCATCATCACATCGCAGCTTTGAGGCTCCCAAACGTTCGCACGCCTGCAGTTTCTGTTGCCAATGTCCTTCTTTGACATAGCCCAGGCGAATCAGGTCCAGGTCGCCGTCAAGGTCACAATCCAAGAACCTCCATTCAACTTTCTTATAAGCCTCCTCGCGCCTTACATATCCACCATTTACGTATTCGTCGTGTTGAAATTCACCATTAGCCTGATAATGATCCAGTTCAGCTAGGAGATTTCTGACTGGACTCTGCTCCAGTGGCCACTCGTGCAGCGTGCCATTCTTCTGCTCAAAAAAACCGTCCATCTGGGGGACCCAAAATCAAATCCATGTCACCGTCCTGGTCAAAATCCACCATAAAAGGCTGCACCGCGTAGTAGGAGAAGTGATTCCAAGGATCCTTGTGTCGTTTGACTGTGATGCCGCTGAATGGATGGGACTTCTCTTCTCCAAGAAGACTACCCAAGACCTTCCGATGATAGTGCACTTTTCCATCGGTTTGGGACACAATGAGGAGATCTGGCTCACCATTCCCGTCGAAGTCTTCAACTGCAAACCTGTAGTCAACTCCAAAACTTTGATGATTCATGAAGGTGGCCGTGACATTTTCGAAGACTAACTCCACTTCTGTAGCCCCTGAAAAAGGATGATTCTCGTATAACTTCGGCCATGAAGAAGCAAGCGAAGTTTGAAGACCTGGGCTCACCACCAGATCCAACAAGCTATCACCGTTCCAGTCGATCACACTCAAGCGTTGTTCCTTTAACCAACTGCCCAAGTTGAGATGTGCATAGGAACCCATGTGGGTATTGTGCATTAGATCTGGCACCATCACGTGCCGATAATGGCCATATCCAAAGCTACAGGCACTAAATCTGTCACCTAAATATGAATATGTCACGACCATCAGGTCTTGCCAGCCATCTGAATTCCAGTCAATCACATAGGGTTTTTCGATCCCACCCTCTGCAGTGATGAGCCCGGCATGTGCTAAGGGATTCTCCTTCTGCTCAACAAAGCTGCCATCAGCTGTCCGATGGAAGTAGCGGAGTTTCCTTGTTAGAGAGGGGCCTTCATTGTGCTTGCTCCAGTCCGTCACCAGGAGCTCCACACGTCCATCACCATCAAGGTCATCAATTAACTCCACCTGGGTTTGTCAGCAGCAATGAGGATTAAGCATGTATATTTATAGCAATAGTATATATATAATCTATAATGCTACTGTTGGCATATATAATATATTTTGGGTACTATTTTGGGTCTATCCTATTGCCGGGAATAACTGTGGATGATGGTGGTTAGTAAAGGCTAGTGAGAATAGTGATTGGACCGACTCAATGTATATACTGCAATACATATATATATATATATGCAGATAGGGACGTCTAACTTGAACCGGGTGTCTTCCAAATAGCAAGTGGGTGTTTGATTTGGACTGGTACCTTCTAGTCACGTTTGTTTGTTGCCGGCTCCGTGGCTCAGTTAGTTTTTTCAGTGGCATCAGATTTGAGGCAAACAACCACATAACGTTGGCATGCCTTACAATAAACACATTTTAGCGTCATTGAACTTTATTCAGATTTTCTCTTGGCAGCAATGCCAATTTGGCGGTAGGATGACGATGGCGACGTGGTGTTAGTAGAATCTGTCTCCACGGATTCTGACGCACCATCCATGGCGTCTGATGCCACAGCGAGGCACCATTGTCAAAACGTCAATTGAATGGTTCGCTTCAAGTTAGTTCAGGATTCACAAAATACATTCAGGTGGGTGAGCATTGCAGAGTTGACCCAGCGGGTGAAGGACAAGCTTGACTTCGGCAGGACCTTCGCCGATGCCATCCGTCCAAGCCCCATTTTGCCAGGAAATTCTCGAAGCTGTTGATTTCATTTTTTAAGGCCTGGAGGAAAGCTTAGAGCTTCTGCAAGCCCCGCTCACGGTGCTGACCGACTGTGCAATGCCCAGCTTGGATACGTTAAGCGCGTAAACTTGCTAATGCTGATTACTTTGAGGTTCAGGAGTCGAAGCTCCCATTGTGGCCTTGCAGATGTTGTTCGGTGCAGTGGGGTCCAAGCACATGATCGATCATGTGTCACATTCTTATCCTCGTGGATTGAAACAATCACGGACGATGCTTTGTGTGGGGGGTCTGGCGGTTTTTGTATTTAACGATCGAGGTCAAGCTGTGACATAGCACCAGCTCCTCAAGCATTCATCAAAGAGAACTTTCCGGAATCAGAGCCTGAGACTCGATCACAAAAGTTATGACAAAGTGCAGAGTGAAACTTGACTTTTGGTTTGCTTTTGATATTGTGGCCCAACGAGGCTGCATCATGACCTTTTCTGCCGAGAGCCCACGAAGTACGCGCAACAGGCAATCAGATTTTCCAAATGTGCACAGTGCAGTGTGTGACTTAGACGCTGAGTTTTTTGTTGCCAGGTGGCATTGTATGTCGCAGGTTTTCCCTGCAAGGCTTTCAGCCGCTTGCGGCATGAAACTGCCTGGCTTGAGGACGCTGAGGCCAAACAGTTTTTTGGATGCATCGCCAACATCAAAGTTCTCCGTCTGGTGGGAATCCTGACTCAAATGAAAATGAGTGGGCTTTGATTGACTTGTCGTGTTGTCGTGTGTAACCATTTTTGTGGCGTCGCTCATGTCTCTCAGGCCGCTTGTCTGGAGAACGTCCTGGGCATCAAACCAGTCTTACCAGATGTTGTGGCCCACATTGAGAAAGAGCTGCCAGACTACAAGGTTTCATGGACAATTTTGTCACCGAACCTCAGCGGACATTTTGACCGCCGCTCATGCAAACATTGCAACAAATTTCCGAGGAACCAGTTTGGGATGAATGTGGCAAGACAGCGGTACTACTTCTTCCTGATCCACAAAGACTATTTGAGCGCAGACTTGGACTCTTCGATTTCAAGAACTGTGGAAGATTTGATCCAGCCCAACAAATGAGCCATGGTCAGAATCCCAGTCTCCTTCAATTTGTTGATAACCCATTTGCCGAAGTTGAACTTTGCCTTATCTTGCAGGCAAACGTTTCTATTGCCAGACGATCATCAGTTGATCAAAGAGCAGAAGACAAAGGTCAGCCAGAACATGTTTCAAGAATGTTACTAGAATGCCATCAGCTCGCCCAGGAGCAGGACGCAAAGAGCCAGGGGAAGAAGGAGAGTCTGAACGACCACAATGGTCCTAGACAGTTAAAATGCTCAATTGGCATTGTGACTGGATAGTAAGTTCCTTCCTTCTCATATTGCAGAGGCCAAACGAGGGGGAACCAAAGTGGAGGCACATCCACTCCAAGTTCATGCAGAAGAATAAGGCGCATCTATTATGCAAAACTGGTTGAATGGGTGTCAAGTCTTGTTCGGGTGTGCCAGGTGAACAAAAAAGCCGTTTCCAACAAGATCTCTGAGTGGAAGAAACGCCTCAACACACCTCGTTCTTGGCAGGCTTGTGGGGTACTCTTGGTGCATTGCTTGTTGCTGCAACCTTGTTTCTGGCAGGCGGCTAGCATCCTGTCAGTGCACAAGCCTACCTGGGTTGTATGTGATTTATCACAGAACCTGAGTCGTATCCCCGTGCTGACCGCCCAATCAGATCCATTTATGTGCATCACGTCAGGTCCCCAGAAAAGTATAGTCAGACATTACCTTGCAAAGCCTACTTTGCTTCAGGCCCGGTGGCCAATATTGGATTCGGGACAAAGATCGTGTTTTGCTAGGCAAGGTGGGCGGTTGACTTTTTTCAGCCCTCTTGAGCCGGATGGTGGGTCGGCAGGCGTGGAAAAGTTTATATTGATGGGTTTCCCGCTGACGAGTTCAACTTGTCGCCAGTGTCTGATCGGGAATCCCTGGCTTGCTTCAAGTACTCGCTAGTTTCTTCTGAGGACATGTTTTTCGCCGCGATGCTTTTCAGGCTCTTGGTGCGATGGCGGGCAACGCCATGCACACCAGAGCCATAGGCGCTGCCTTAGCTTGCATCTTCAAGGCTCGAACTTGATTTGTGTCGGTAAGGCGCACCTCAGACATGTTGCTTTTAGCAAGCTTGCTGGCAGCCAGCTTGCTGGTAGCCAGCTTGTTTGCAGAAAGCGTGCTCCTAAAATGTGCTTGCAGCAAGCTTGCTGGCAGCCACGTTGCTTGCAGCAAAGTTTTGAACAGATTGTTTGCTGGCAGTGTTTCCATACATGTTCTGTGGCACAGGCGGTGAACATGCGCAAGTTATCCAACTTCTGCCAAGCAGCTGCCAAGGCAAGCGCCGACACCAAAAAAATAACAATACAATACAGTTGCCTTGCAATGAAGGCGAGGAAGGCAAAGAAGTAAACATGTCCAGGTCTCAGTTCAATGTGTCGCTTTACATCTCAAGGTCGCTCAAAGGTTGCTGCAATGTCAGGCTCCTTCAGGCTCCCGGCTTGACTGCCTGACTGATTAATTCGCCGTTTCGTGCGCCTCCCATGTTTGAGTTATTTTGAGTCCAGACCTGTACTCAATCTTCAATGCAATCACACTTGTTAGTCTTTTCAAGGCCACTCAAAATACACTTGAATACTATGATGTGATTGCAGAGGGCAACGAATGTGAGGCTTGGGGCAAGAGACAGCTGAGAAGCAAGCGCCATCGGCCTTGGACTTTGTAGGCATCTTCAACCAAGCAATACAAGCAACCATGAAAGAGAACCCCAGAGTCTCCCAACTGATTGCATTGAACACTTGCATCGCCGACTACAACAAAGACGTGAAGATCAAGAGGTGGAGGGTTGACACCCTCAAGAGAAAAATCATTGGCAACATGTTGAAAGTTCCCGAGGAAACTATCAGGATTCTGGCAGAGCACTACGACTTGCATCGTCACAGCTCATCGGGTCCAGTACCCGCAAAGAACTGCCATTCTACAGTCTGTGTAGTGTTGCGCCCACATACTTGTGTAATCATTGTGTGACAGCCAGCTAGCTGGCTGCCACACGTCTGGTTACAATGAAGTGTGGTTTGCTTGTTTTTGCTTCTACCTGCGACTCAGGCTCAATTGGTGAGTCTTTTACATGCTATATAATGGCTATATTACAGTACACTGTTCATAAAAACCACCTTTAAGTTAATGATTTGCATACTAAACCGGTTTCCTTATTATTCAACATACTTTACTTAGCATTCAACCAACATCATGGGCACATGGCGCGCCTTGTCGAGATCCCGCAGCCCACCTGACAAGCGCACATGTTTGCGACGATGGAGCCCATCTGAATCAGAATCGTCTGACGAGGGTGAGTCAAGCCAAGATTCGGACTCATCCCTTCCAGAGGCATCTTCTTCAAAGATCCTCGCTCGCAACAGCACTATTCACTCGATTTCGCTGAGTCTTGTTGAGTGTTTTGTTTGTTTTCCTTGCGGGCGTGCCATAGGACCAAGACTGCCAATCTTACTTTTGCGAACCTGTCTGCTTTGAAAGCCTCTTCGGGTGATATCGATGGCAAGCAAGAGAGCAATTATGCAGAGAATGGGAAGTCCTCAAGGAGGATCAAGAAAGTTCTAAGTTCTCAGAAAGACTGTGGATGCCATTGCTCAAGGCAGTCCGGCGCTTACTTGAACACATGCTTTGACTAGTCGGCTTCGTTCATGGTCCAAGTCAAAAAGCAAGTTGACTGATGTCTCGCTGAAGGTGTTGGAAGAATGTGGCGTTCAAGACATTGTTACAGATCTGCCTGCTGTTTTGGAGCCTTTCCAAGCCTGGTCAGGATGCCTTACTCTGGTCGCTCCAAAGCAATGCGCTTGAGGGGCTTGGTGAAGAGGAATCTGAGGATGACAGTGGCAGCGCCAGCAGCAGCAAGAGTGATTTGCAACGTCGCGTCCAATGGTATATAGGGGAAACCCGTGTTTGCCGCCGCGTGTTTCATTCATGGGCATCGGGCGCGGCCGCCTCAAGCGAACCCGGGATACATTCAAGGGTCTAGACGAAAGGACTCTTCCAGGCAGGGCTTGTTCCGTCTTGGTTGACTCCCATCATTGAGCTTGCTTTGAATTTGCATGGGAAGGCCACCGACCACGCGCAGCTTTGGCAAAAAAATACGTCAGTCCAACTCTTTATGCAGCAAAAGATGTACTATTCCATTTCGGAATCAATGCCCACTGGGCGCCTTGC